CCTTCCCTCCAATCAGTGCCAGGGGTGGGGCTGCCATGAAATACCTGCAGATGAGCAGGCTGCAAAAAACCTTTTGCCTCTGTGATTTAAATAGGTCCCTACCAATGCACCATTTAAAGCATGTATGGCTGGGAACTGGGGTGGAAAGAGCTTTCCCAGCCCAGGATTCCAGTGCTGAGTGTTTTGAAAGTGTTGTGTGCACCACCTAGCTGGCACTCTCAAAGCCTGTGGACCTGGAAACCACAGAAGGGAGAGCTCTTTCTACCACAGTTCCTGGGCCTGGGAGCTTTAAATGCTGCCTGCAGAAGGGGCAAACCATCTGCTTGCACTTCAGGCTAGAGACCCTAGTCTGGGGAACAGGTAGAGGGCTTTCCCCTGGTGCTTCAGTTCTGTCCCAGACTGGTCCAGGAGGCAAGAGGAGCCAGTGGGGCAAAGCCCCCAGCCCTTTCCATAAACCAGTTAGTCCCTACTCTAGAGAAGATGCTGCTTTGCACCCTTCCCAAACCAGAGAGGAAGGGGAGCATATAAGCATCCATTCTTGTGAGAGTTTCTCTCACAAGAGAAATTTTCCAGGTTAGCACCTGGAAGATCTTTCTCCTGCAGGGGGCAAGTTTCCCCCTGGAGAAACTGAATGAGTTCTGTATGCTTGTTATTTCTACTGGGAGAACAGCAATTCTTCCAGTAGCTTGTACTTGGCTAAAATTTAACTGGAAAACTGAAAAGACTGTTTAGTGTTTTTCAGAAGATAAATTGAAAAAATATGTAGACTATATAGCCTTTCCTTTATTGTTACATTATTTTCATTTTTATTAGCAGTTTGATGTTAAAAAAGACATTTAATTTTCTATAAAAAATGCTGAGTTACGACACCATTTCATGATATTAATACTTTTTTTGTACTTGGTTTTAACTTGTTAGCAGTTTTCATAAATGACAACTGTAGCCACTATATTTTCTTTAACATTCCAGAATTTAATTATCTAAAATGAAATTGTGTTGTATTAAAGTATTTTGTGACAGATTTTGTTTTCCTTGATTTATAGAAGATAACTGCTTTGGGAATTCATTTCCCTTAATGCACACTTTCTGACGTTTCTGAGTGAAAATGTGCTTACAGCATGTTGTCTTCTTGTTTGGGCCAAATCTGAAAATTAGCATGTAATGCTTCTTGCATACTAATCTCTGAATGTGGCACTATTCAAATATGAAAGTTGTTTTTTTCTGGCAAAAAAGTCAGAAGCTTTCAGGCAACCTAAGTGTTCAGTGTTTATGCATTTTTCTTTCTCTCCATTCTCTTGTTGACTATTTTTAGTGGAAACATTTGAAATGCTATTTTAATTTTGGAATATACTTTACAAAAATCAATATTTTTATTAAAACTCAGATTTTGCTTGGGACATGTTAGTCTTTGAAAATGAGATTTTAAATGTAGCATATTTACATTCGTTTTAAAAAGTATCCTGCTTCCTTTCTATTTCTAGTGCTGTGTTCAAACAAGCACATGGAAGTGGCATTTCTAAAATGTGTTTCTTAACTTTAGGAAAAAAAACAAAAGGTGTAGGGTATGCTTGGATGAGATTTCTTTTTTTATTGCACTTTGTAAGAGCAAAATAAATGAAAGGTCATGGCTACCTTCAGTTTCCTATACCTTATGGCCCACAGGCTGGATCCAGCCTACAGATGCATCAGACCTAGCCCACTGAGCACAGGGGCTTCAGGAGTGGGTCTCTGCTTGTGCCATGCCATAGCTGGGCAGCGGGGAGAAGCACGGGAAGCCAGGTTCTAGTGCTGGCCCAACTTGGACCCAGTTTGGTCATTCTGAACTGCTGCCGAAAAATGTTGTTGACCCCTGTCCTGTCCTAGTTTTTAATGATTTTTGTTTAAAATGTAAGGTGTCATTTTTAACAACTGGACAGTTTTTTACATTTTAATACTTTTTTCAATTTTTTTATGCGTTTTGTACTTTAATTACTTTCCTTTTTTCTTTGAATGTGAGTTTGCTGTTGATCTATAATTTGTGGGGTAGAACTGTACAGTGGGGTGAAAGAAAGATTTCTAGCTGTTGCATTGATTCTGTCAATGGAAAAAACAAAAAAAACTTCTTTAGTTTCTCCTTATTAGTAAGCTTTATTGGGAGAAAGGTGTCAAAGGATCAGTAAAAAAAAAAAAACAAAACAAAAAAAATATTGGCAGCCAGATGAACTGTTCAAGCAGCATGAAAAATTTATTTTTGGGTCACGCCTTGATTGACAGCAACAAGGCTCTCAAAACTTTTCATCCCTATTTCTTATCAAGACACAGGTAAGCAGGAAGCCAAAGAAAGCTGACTGCTGCTGACAAGGTAGGGAGCTATCAAAGAGCGTAAAACATTTACATAAAACCAAAAAATGTTTTGTTGTTCTTTTTGAGACCTCTTGGAAAGAAAAATGAGGATTATTTTTAATGTCATCCTTATGTTATAAATGTAACTGCTCAATGTCATCTGTTCTATTCTCCTCAAAGGCGGGTTTCTTCACTTATGTGGGAAGTCCGGTACATAGAGCATAATACACGAACATTCAATGAACCTGGAAGTCCTATTGTTAAATCTGCCAAATTCATCACAGATCTTCTGCTACACTTCATAAAGTGAGTAGATTACCGGATGTAATGTTTTCAGTCCATCTTCTAATAGTAGATTCAAATATAGTAGATCATTTTACCTGTTGATGAGAGCCTGCCATTTGCTTTAGCAAAGGATAGAAGTACACAACATCCAAAGGGAGAGGTGAACCTCGAGGCATTTTTAAAGAAAAGTAAATTACTTATAAAATGGGATATAATAAAGAGTATCAGAGTTTGAAAAACAAAATATTCAGTATATTACTTTTCATAGTTCAAAATCTAGAAATTTCATAATGGAAGGTTAATGTAATGAATTTTGTGGTTTAGAAATAATAGTCTTGTTATAGTCTGAAACATTATTTCTGGGAGTTTTAAGGAAAGGAGAATGCATTTCTTGCCACAGTGACTTTGATTTTATAGTTGTCATTTATTGCATGAGCTTTCTCTCCAATGATAGATATAAATTTGGGTGGAATGTATATGAACCATATGGACAGCCGCATATGTTTAAATAAAGTTGTTTAGCGTCAGGATTTCATACCATGTTAATGACAAAATTATGGGATTTTTCATTTAAAATTTTTTCCTGTTATCATAAGTTGATTGAAAAGTGGTGTCTTTTGTATGCCATAAATTGGGGAGGCTTTAAAAAGTTTTCATCTTCATTATTATAAAATTCTACATTAAATTTTTTGAAAAACTTTTTTATGGGGAACATTTTCTATTCCCCTCCTCCCCAAACTTTTCTATCTTTAGTTTAGTTTAAAAAAAATGGGGAGGGGAACATTTAAAAGGGTATTTTTTTTCCTTTATAAAACTGAAAAACATTGTTTTGGTCAAGACCTGTATCTTTCACAAAGATGTTAGCTATCGTTAGGCTTTTGGCATACATTACATTCATAGTGTGATTAATCCATTAATCATACAATAATGTGAAACATCTTTATGCCTGGTTTGTATTGTGCTTAATGTTGAACTTGTGCCCCGTAAGCATCCAGGAGTAGCCCATGCGTAGCCCAGCTTCATTTGAACATGTCAGCTTTTGGGGAGCTGGTCTGTTCAAAGTGCAGTTGTGCCACTAGGCTGCAATAAGCTTACTGGCACCAGAGAGCGTGAGATTTGGGGAACTTCCTCTGTGATTTCAGGCTCACACTACCCTGGGGCATTAACAAAGCAGGTGTACACAGTGCCTCCCTCCTGTGTCAGAATCATGATGCCTGGAGACCTTAACAAAGAGTGAATGCAGGAACTGATTCACCTGAAACTGGCTACACAGCTTGCCTTTCAAGCTGCCTGGAGGTGGGGAGCATGGTATTAGGGACCAGATATCTATGTTAGTCTCCCAGCCCTGGCAGTTGTTTGCCATCTGTGGGCAGCCTTAGTTACTGCTTTCCCCATAAAACTACTTGTAAAATGCAACTTCTCAACCTATCTTTTCTATGGGAAAATCAAAGAAAAAACACTGGTTTTCACTTTCAGTTTTGTTCAGGTAACCCTTTGTGTTTAAAACAAGTGAAACTTGTGATACACATGGTGGAAATAATGTCACAGTAAGCATATACACTGTGTTAATTTCTTTATGGATTGTAGTCAGTTTGCTTGAATACAGTTATCTAGATCAGTGATCACCAACCTTTTTAGATTTGGGGCAGAGATGGGAAGATGGGCACTTGGATCCAACTGCTGCCACTGATTTTCCCCATGGCAACATGGTGAGAGCACCCACCACTACTGCTTTTCCCTACTGTGGCATGGGAAAACAACTGCTGCCAATGCCCCCTGCTGCTGAATGCCTCCAGATGTAGCCTGCAGGCCACAGGTTGCCAAGCCATGATCTAGACATTCGGATAAAACTTTCATTGGACTCTTTGTACTCTGTTAATTCTGCCCTCTCTGCTGGTCTTCCATGAAAGATGCTTTTTAAAGATAGCAGATTTCAGTCCTTTTGCCTTTTTATGCTGGGAATAAGATTCCTAAATTTCATGTGATCAGCTTAGCAGGCTAAATGCATAATATGTGTTTGCTGGAACCAGGGCCCCCACGATAAAGTCTTACACAAAATGCATCCTTCTGGTATCCTTTGTTAGAGGCTGGGAATAAGTGTCTGTCAGCATTTTATTTAGTCCTTTTACTGATAATGCTGGAAGCCATGTAGCTTAGTCAGTAGGGTGACTGACTTGCTTAGGGATTGAAGGACCTGGGCTTGATTCAAGATGAGGGGGGTGGGTTTCTACTCAGTTTTTCATTTTTAGTACTAAAATAATTTTAGTATGGCTGTGAGGCCCAACCAGCCTCTTACTCAATGGATACCAGGAGCTACCTGAGTATAAAGCAGCCGGAGCGTGATGCTGATCACATTACCTCTTCCTTGTGCCAAGAGTAGAGAAAAACTGGAGCCCTCCCAATTGTCCATAAATGGGACACCTTTATGGTTATATTATATTGCGGGTCAGTTGTTACCCACATAACATTTTAAAAAGAAATCACAAAAGCAAAAAATAGTTTTGTCATCCATTCTCCACACCTGTTATAGTCCCCTTTCATGGATGCAGAGAATAGCAGTGACGAAAAAAGCTCCTCATCTTAAACTTGCATAGAAGGAAACCTCATTAAATATATTGTCCATCATTAAACTACTGGCAAAAGCAGCATGTGCACAGTAACGGAAACCTTCTGTGAAGTTGATGAAATGAAATGCAGCCAACACTTGAGCATGACTCTAAAACACATGGTCCATGTTGGACACATTTGGGGTGGGGCTAAAAAAACCAAAAAAGGGTGGGTGTTCCATCCATAGGGAACTGCCACTGGGCCTGGAGGTACTGCAATAACAGGCCAGCACTAGGTGGGTCAGAGCTAGCCCTGACACCCGCCTGTTTATTCCAAAAATGCTTGATCATAGCCAAAAGACTAAGTTGCTGATGGGAGCCTACCGCAAAGATGGATTAGTAGAACTCATCTGAATAAGATATATAGTAATGCCTGTTATGCACAGTCCCCCTCAGCACTGACACTTCAGGTCATAGTGAGCCACTACATTGAATACATTTTGACTTCCTCTTCACTCCCACAGCTGAGCTGCAACTTTTTTCACATTTCCAGTGATTCCTTTTTTTCTTCACCAGCCTCAAATGTCTGGCAGACATCACCAAGTGTGGCTGCAGAGAGTGCAGACAGACTCCCTTTGTCACCCCCGCTTTCATGTTGTTGTACATGATTAGTGTGACCCCATCCTTCATGAGGTGACGGTGGACCAAGTTGCCCTGCATCTCATCTGCATCTAAATCTTTGGAGTATCCCAGGACTTATGACAAGAACATCCTGTCCCAGTCATGAGTGGGAGGCTAATTAGCATGTAGCTCCTTTGTGGGGCTTTCTAGAGTACACACATACTGAGTAGTGCTGAGCTATGGGGTCACCATGGCTTGAAATGCTTGTTGACTTTTCTGGGGTCCAGCCCAGTGAACTATATGGTAAATCATGAGCCTTTGGCTTTGGATTACCACCATGCATATGTAAATAGGTATAAAAATGCACCTTAAAAATATGTTTACGGAGTACCTGTGCTAATACTTGCAGTGGTTTCAAAATAGGTAAAATGCATAAATTCTGATGATCTAAGTCTATGGGGGGGAGGGGAGGGGTGTGGCCCTCAACAGGTCACCAAAACTCATAAGTGGCCCACCAGCCCAAATAATTGCCCACCCCTGCTTTAGAACTAAAATGTATGGCATTTAGGCCAACATAAAATGTGTGGCACAAACTCAGTTCTAAGAATGGGTATAGGTCTAAGAATGATTTGCCTGTGTTGCTTTTTTAAAATCTATCTGTTTTCTTTGGTCAAAATAGATGCAAGTAGCACTGGTCTGACCTAGAAATGTGTTTGTTTGTTTGTTTGTTTGTTTGTTTGTTTGTTTGTTTGTTTGTTTGTTTGTTTGTTTGTTTGTTTGTTTGTTTGTTTTTAAACTGATATAATTAAACCAGTGCAACAGACTGGGTGGATGCTTATTTTAATAGCAGCCTCTATCATTTTAGCCTATCAAAATATATGTTTAATTAAATCATTGTAGCTTCTGTGTGTGTAGACCAGATGTATACTTTTATGCATAACATAGACTTACATTAACATGATATTTCTTGTCCTACAGAGACCAGACTTGTTATGCTATAATTCCTTTATATAATACAATGAAGAAGAAAGTATTGTCTGACTCTGATGAGGTAAGCCAACTGAATGCTACATATATGTAAAAGTAATCTCAGTGGTCTGGTGCTGTGCTTGCACTCATTTATGGAAGAAATTGAGTTTTAATCTCTTCCCACTTTATACTGCAAAGGCAGCATGTTTAGCCCATTGCAAGAGGGTAAGGGAATGTGTTGCATCAATTAACAATATTCCTTTTAGCCAGTTGAAGAACACTGCTTGTAATTCCCTCTTGTATGGAGAACTTTAGTGCTACTTAAATTAAGTGGTACATGGATATTGTGCTAACCGTTTGCGGAGCGGTGAATTTCACTCTATTTACAAACTCTTTAAGTCCAAGCCTGTTAAAAAAAAAAAAATATTGATGTGTATATATGGTTATCATATTTTAGGAACTTGAGAGTTGGGGAAGAAAAGGTCACAAAAACAGGAAGATTCTTGGGACTATCATTCAGATCGCTGCAAATAACTGAAAATATGAATGGTAGTTTATTTAGTAACTTTTTCAAAAGTGTTTTGTTAATTTTGTTATGCGACTCATATTTTCTTGCTCAAAGGAAGAAGAGAAAGATACAAATGTTCCAGGAACTTCCACTAGGAAAAGAAAGGTAATACTTGGTTGCGCTTGCATCCATGATTTACAGTGTAACAGCTTTAAAAAAATTATCCAAACAGCTTAGAAATAGAAACCATTTTAGGCTGGTATAATCCTGTCTTTGAAGATTGTGTGTTTTTGCCTGGAAATCAGTTTTTAACGGTAGGTATTTTCTTCTTTCATCTGTTATGCAAAAGCATTTTTACCTGTTCCATTGTGTGTGGGATGGGGGTTAGGATTCACAATTTACAGTGTTTGCATGTAATAATTTTATTCTTTGACTTTGTGTATTAAAAAATTGGCTTGTGTAAACAAATCAGTATGGTCATTTCAGGATCATCAGCCCAAACGGAGGCTGCGCAATAGAGCTCAGTCTTATGACATTCAGGCATGGAAGAGACAATGCCAGGAGTTGCTGAATCTCATTTTTCAGTGCGAGGACTCTGAACCTTTTCGCCAACCAGTGGATCTCCTCGAATATCCAGTGAGTATTTTAATAATGGGGAAAAAGCTGGTCAGTGTTTGTATATTTTGATTGATTTGGAGGAGAGGGGGCTCCTTTGGAGTTTCATATTTTTTCAACAATATTCATCAGGATTGTCTAAATAATTTAAATGTCTAATAATAGTTGAGAACCTGTGCTCTTTTGAACTGAGTGATATAAACTGATGCTCAGTAACAGAAGATCAGTACTTGATTTTGTTTGTAATTATATCTAGATTAGACTAAAACCAAAAATTAATTAGTATTTTTACACATCATTGCTCTGATTACAGGCCTGTTTGGTTATTACAGTTAAGGTAGCTGTATACTTTCCATTGAGACCCTATTTCTAGTTGTTTATAAGTTAGATGTCCTTGCTTTTAGGAGCTAGAATTTTCCAGATCAGGTGTCTATCTTAGAATGAAATACTTCTGAAAGTGTTGAGGGGGAAAAAAACATTCAGAAATTTCTAGGAACAAGTTTTGGAAAAAGTTTTAGTGCTTCTATATCATAAAGCAGGAACTAGCTAGGTGGATTCTTCTAGCATTCCATGTGCTTTTTCCTGTCTTTGTGAAATGTCATCCAAATTTGTCCAAGTTTGTATGTTCTGAAACCACAGCTTGCATAATTTCAGTAGAAATTTAAGAGCCTGGCAGCAGTATTCTATGAAGATACCATCTACAATGAACGTGCTCTGCTTAGAGCAGTGAGTGTGTCACATCTCATCATTTCAAGGGACTGGTTTTCAACCCTCTTGGATGTGAGGCAGACCTTTGTAACTTTTGTGAATTGACCAGCACCCCATTTCAAAAACTAACTTATTTATTACGGTGCTTACCTGCTAAAAGAAGGGCTGGGAAGGAGGAGCAGCAGCTGGCAGGAAAGAGCCTGTGCTGCAGTAAGTTGGAAGGAAATTGAGGTGCAACAGAAGGGAAGAATCTGCATTATCCTACTCATCTCCTCTCTCTCCCAGCAGCACCCTTTAAAGCCTATTAGCACTTCAGGGTGCTGTGTCACTCTGGTTGAGAATCAGTGTTTCAAGGGTAGTGAGGGCAAGAGCAGGACTTTCTATATATTTGTTCCTCTACCATTCTTGGAGTTACTATATGTCGGACACTGGAACAAAGAGCCAGGGAGATGGCCTCTTCTGCTATGACTGCTTCCAGTGCTGGAGTTCAATACAGAAGTGTGAAGGAGAAATCAGGTGGCTTTACTTCAGTGTATTTGGGAAAAGTGGCAAGTCTGGAAGACACAAGCACTGACTTAGAGGATGTGGAGGGAGAGGTGCTCAAGGGTCTATAACGGCTAGATTGTGTGTTCCTCCAGACCCTAGAATTGGACCTGTTACTCCTGACTGCCATATTTTCCCTGTCAGCACGTAACTATAACATCTGTTAGCATCATGTTTCATTCCATTCTAATAGGGGCTACACAGAGGATAGGTTGCTACTACTCTCATGGCACAATTGATTTCAAATGGTAGAGTTCTTTGCTGTGGATTAAAAGGACCTAACTCTTCTGCTGATCTGTGTGAACAATGTGGGGAAAACAAAATATTGTTAGTCTGTTGTATGCTGGCATCATCTTCTATATGATGCTAAGCTATTACTATATAACTTTATTTTGGAATTTTAGGCCTGTTACTCTTTTTTTTAAGTCGCTGTTTTAAACTTAGCTGTTGAGCTGTCGAAGGTGGGGCACTACCTTTTATCTCTTCACACTGAAATTTTATTAAAAATACAGAATTTCTACTGAAGTGGTTTATTTATTAAATGGGTCTGAGTTTGTATTGGATAACTTTAAAACGCTCAGGTTCTTCGTTTAACTCTGCCAGTTGTAGCCTGCCTCATGACTTGGAAAAAGCACTATTTCTATAGAATAGTTATGGGAAGCTGTTTTTGTGGTCTTCTATCCAAACCTGAGAGAGAATTTTGATAAACCCTTTATAAGTGACAGATAATCATGTCTTGATGGGTGAGAAGTATTGGGACAAATAAAATTAACTTTAATTACATGTTGATTTGCCAATTTTTTTAATAGGATTATAGAGACATTATTGACACACCAATGGATTTTGCTACAGTTAGAGAAACTCTGGAGGCTGGCAATTATGAGTCACCAATGGAATTATGTAAAGATGTGAGACTTATTTTCAGCAACTCCAAAGCTTACACGCCAAGCAAAAGATCAAGGGTATGGATTTATAGTTCACGCCATTAAAAAATTCTTTCTTTAATAAAGAATATGTAAACCTTAGACATAAACAAAGGAGAACTTATTTTTGTTTAAGATTAAAGACCAAAACAACATTGGGCTATTTGGAAATATCAATAGTTTAAATGCTTTGTATGCTCTTCCCACATGAATTTTGTTTCTAATGACAAAACAAATTCCTTATGAATAAAAGGAGACCTTTTTATTAAGAGTGGGCCACCCCTTGTGAACAGACCATCACTATGGGTAGCTGATCCCCAGTGGTTATTCCAAGCATATGTGACCCATGCAAAGAGCTGCTCTCTCACCCTCCCTGTTGGAGCCTGTGTTCACCATTGCCACCAGAAACCGTAGTAAGCAAGGATTTGAAACAGCTAATTTGATAGTGATGGTAAGCACAGGTGGTGGCCTGGAGGAGTTGGGGGAGAATGATGAGAGAGAAGGCCCTTTGCATGGAGCAGGGACAGCTGGAGCCTAGAGTATCAGCCAGGATCAGTCAGCCAGTAGTAGAATGTGGGTTGGATTGGGTAGAAGAGGATCAGCCAGACATTCTTAAGACACAGGCCTGATCCAGCCTACGGGCTGTTTTGAAGTTCTCTTCTGCAACTTTTTCAGATTTTAAATTGATACTTCTGAGGTGTAGTTTAAATAGGTAACTTTTTGACAACAGAGTCCAAAAGTGTTGAAGGAGTGATTGGACAGATGGTAACAATAAATATTTTATGCAAAGTATAACTATTTGTGAGAGGATAATACTTGATTCTCAAACTCGTCACTCTTAGAGTTCCATAAATCAGAATATTAAAATGGTTAGATTACAAAGGGATAATATCATTCTGTGATGTTTACTGGTTTGCACTGAGATTGAGGAGACTCTCAATTGTCCTTGCAAATCCTGTTGTTTTTTTCATCTGCCAATTTATTTTTAAACTGTTGGCCCCATGTTGTTAGCTTTTTTGTTGATTTCCTTTAGTTCTTGGGATTCTTTTCTGGTTTAAAGAGTCCTATGGAAGTAATTGCTGCACATAAATGTATTACTGTTCCAGGGATAGGCTTTTCTTCTAGTACTAGAAGACCAGTGTAAACAACCAGGCTGGTATGCTGTGTGTGGCTACTGATGCAAATGGTGAATGCTCCATCAAGTTTTTACTTTGACTCTTGTCCCAGCATGTAGGCAACAAGGTTCTTAGGAGAGAGAGCCTCAGTTAAAAGATCTTAGGTCAGCATGATTGGTCTAGTTCGGTCAATATTGGGCAATCTGTTCGGCATTTGGAATGATTTAGAAATTGTTCTCTGCCCTTGCCAACATCAGATGTTGGGACTTTTCAGACTTTGGGATTGGGATTCCTTTGTGTTCTTTTCTCCTCTGCTTCAGGTCTTCTCGGATTGGAGCGAGCACATGGTTGATGTTATCATGGCTTGAGCGTGGCCTCACCAATTACACTACTTAAATATCTTGTTTTGGAAACCATTTATTTTACCAGTCATATTAATTCGTATCTTCTAAAGGCATTTAAATCATGCTGAAACCAATACCTGTTTACAATTTGAACTTCTAATTAAAATGTAGGTTTCTAGCTTCAGTGATTCTGAAGCTATCAGCAAAAAATATTCTAGGTTCTTTAGAGAGCTCAGTGGACTCTCCACACACAGTGTATATACACTGAAGTAGAAATGGTCTTCAGTCTGGTTCTAGACATTCATTGGTGTTGGTGTCAGTATTCCTCATTTTGGCTTGCTTGTTCTTCTCTCTGAAAATGGGGTGACAGCTACTACTGTCTGCCCCCCATGAGATCAGACTTAAGTTTTTTTTCCATTTATATGGCACTTCCTTATGAGTTTAAAAAAAAAAGTGTTCAAGTGATTTAGATACTGTCACATTTATTGCTTTTGTGTCTTGGTGCCAGACTACCAGATCCCTTAAATGCAGTGGCTCCACTGTTACACTCCAATCACTTGTCATCTTTCAAGGGGGATTTTACCTCCTATTATATTACTTTAGCCAGTCCATTTGTCATTTTGTTTTTTTCCTGGAACTGTGGTGCATCTGTAATCCAATTAATTGTATAAGAGAGAAACTCATGCACGCCCATTCAGCTGAGGGCAAAGCTTAAAAAAAAAAATCTGAGGTTTACAGGTACATGGATAGTTGTCATCCATTTAAGTAGCTAACCTTATGTCGTCTTTTGGGATGAGTTGCTACTCCTGGTTGATGTCCATAGATGGGGTTATATATATGCAACTTAATCCAGAAAACTGGATTTTCAGAGTGTTCCCTTGTTAGGTTCCCATTCTCACTCTTCCTTTGTTTCTTCAGAGACTTTGTTGTGGAAAGGCAATCAGGAACTGAGGGAATAGGAGCTGTGCTCATCTTCTAAATTTTTCCTTTTTTCCACTGTGTTTGTCTTCACAGGATTATGGCCCACTTTTTCTATGAACTGCTTTGATGGTTCCAAAGCTAGACTCCCAAGAGTGCAGATTTATGGGCTCCTCCTGTAAATTTCCTTTCATTTATTTCATTTAGAAGCTAAAACATTTCTATATTAAAGTGGTATGTTTTTCTATATAGATATAGCTCTAGGTAGGTGAATAGGAAAACAGTGCTTCTGGAAAAAATGTAAACCTTAAACAAACAAACAAACAAAAACCCCTTCTTTGTCTTGTTCACTTATACCCTGCATTGGCTTTTTTTTAATAGATTTACAGCATGAGTTTGCGCCTTTCTGCTTTCTTTGAGGAACATATAAGTTCTATTTTATCAGATTATAAATCTGCTGTGCGTTTTCATAAAAGAAGTTCATTAAAGAAACGGAGGAAAAAAAGAAGCAGAAGCAGCTCGGTGTCCAGTAGCGTTGCATCAAGGTACATTCATTGCTGTGTGCTATGAAATGCTCTGTTTGAAATATAATAGTAGAACTTGGTATGGTGTTTTTTTAATACTCCTTTACTATTCCCTATATTGCAGAATGATATATTTGACATGCAAGTTCCTATGATGTGGAAGATTTTTAAACTTTAACTAAAGCTAGTGTAAGTGCTTAAAATTCAAATAACTGCTAAATATGTACAGTAAACCAGCATTATTAGGATAGTGACAGCATCATATTTTGTCATAACTACAGCATTTACAGTGATCCTTCACTAAAGATTCACTTTTCAGAGGTTCACAACTACATGAAATTCCACTGTAAATGTAATATGTTTAACATATTTCATACAGAAACAACTTTTGGCTTCCACAGTCTTAGACACTGCCTAGCATATTGTTTCTTTTATTCCTTTAAAAGATTAACTCTAATCTCCAGGCTGTAAATCTCACTTTTATTTACAGCCCTGAAAGGAAGAGAAGGTTTATAAAACCTCAGTTGAAGACAGAGGCCTTGACTGCTCCTTCATCTTTGGTACCTGCACGTTCAACAACACTGAGACACATTGCTGCTCAGATGAATGGAAAAGCAGCTGAAACGTCTTCTCTAGTGCGGACTAGAAGCAATAGGGGGGTGCTAGATACTCCTGTTACAGAACAACCATCCACTTCTTCAGGAGGAAAGCCTTTAACTACAAAGCCTTTAATTACAAAACCCAATTCTGCGGTGTCAGGGAAATCAGGTAGGTGTTGTAAAGGCATTCATAATATTTGCAAGCTTTTAAATTTAATGGTTTCTTGTTTCTTAGATATTTATGTTCTTGATTAAGAATGGGCCCCATTTACTCAAGTTAGTAGATCTCAGAGGGAGCCTGAATGGCTCACAGGATTGGTACGAGACCATGGAATCTTTTCCCTCTGGGTTACTAGTTCAAATACAGTTTAGGTCAGTATTGACTGAAAGTTACTGCATTGTCTGTTTTGCTTGGGGTGTTCAACCCAAGACTGCAGGCCAAATCCAGCCCCCAGTGTGCTGGGTCATGCAACCCACAAGTATGTGGGAAACCCTACAGGCCATGGCCTTTCATGCTAGATCAGGCATGCCAGGCTAGTGTCGGACGTGATGCTGGCTTATGGGACTGGGTGGAGGTGATGCAGGGTTCTTATCGTGATGTAGGGCTCCATGCTATTCATGCAGCCCACAGGTCCAGAACATTAAGCACTACTGGTTTAGCCAGATTAGATAGATTTATACAAATGCTATAAACTAAAATCAGTGCCATTTTGCTTACAAAGGGTTTGTCTTTTTAGTACTGGAAAATTCTGCCAAACATTCCAGGAGTCAAAATGTTCTGTCAAACGCTAGCCAATCTGGTTACAGTCACAACACTAGAAATAACTCCTCAAGAGAAAATCTGGAGAAAGATAAACAAGTCAAGCGAAAAGTGAAATCATCCACTGTTAATCAGGAAGGTAAGACATTTTTAAAAGAGTATTTGGCTATATTTCAGAAAGTGGTGATTTTAATTCCATTGTAGCTAGTTGAGTATACCATGACTGTTTTTAATAATTGCTATTATTCCTTATAATAGGAAGGTTAGCTACATGACTTAATTATGCCATTATTATCCTTTGATTTCATAGTTAATTTTTCTGGATTCTAAATACACCTACCAACAACATAGTATTTATGTTGTAATTACTCTGTCATAAAATCAAATTTCTGTTTATATAAAGTTAATTCTAATTACAAGTATGGGTTAGTATGACTACAGTGTAATTCTTGTATACTGAAAAACTGTAATCTTATATTTTAAACTAAGCAATGTCAAATGTCTTAACATACGAACATCAAGAGGGGGGAGCAAGCCTGTAATAATCACTTCTCAAGGAAAACATTTTGGTTTTATCTTTTGGCTTAATTTTATTTAAGGTAGTTTTATGTTCCCTAATGAAATGGTAATGTGTGTAGTATATTTCATTCGTATTCAAGGCTTCCTGAGACAGTGTTACAAACTGCAGACTACGGGAAATATTGTTGTTCCACACCATTTAATCTGTTGCGAGGGAATAGCTGCTTTTTTTCTTCATGAGTGTTTCTTCAGTCAAGTAAAAATGGTGTACTGCCACCTTAATATCAAGCATTAGGAAGGGTAGGAAAGAAGAAACAATTTTACCTCAACTCTTTTGGAAAAGGTGCATTTTTTTTCCATGTTGGAGTGACTAGTTTCAGAGGGTTTGCTGCTTGCTTAGTTTCATGGGGCCCATTGGCACCTAATTACTTTTCTTCTTCTGAGTCTTCTTTGATACCAAGACTTCTGTAATTGTTGTAATACTTTGGATTTCAAAATCTGCTTTGCCTCTGGGGTATGTGTTTGTTGGAGGGACAAAGAACCTTTTGTTTAATGGAACCTAGTGCCCCAGACAAATATATTATTTGTAAATCTTCCAAAAAGCTAGTCTCAAAAAAGTGTAACAACCCTCAAAAATAAATTTATTGAAGAAATCCAATGAGTGCAACAGTCTTTGAAGTTCCTCTTCTTCCTTTGCTCTGAAGCCAGCCCCTGTTGTTGAATTGGTTAATAGAAAAGCTGCCTTGGGACTTAAGGTACCTTCAGGCATTGAGACCAGATCCTGTTCCACTGATTAGATATGTAAGTGGATTTCAACAAGTAAATGTAATCCTGTTCCACCCTGCTTAAGTGCATAAAATGTTAAAGTATCTGCTTTTGTAACTCCATCATGTTATCCTTAAAAGTAAGCCATGAAAAGCAGAAAGCAGGAGTACATATCAGCTTTTTATATTAACTATTTTTTGGGGAACTTGAGCTGAGTGGAATAAGATCATGCTTCTTAAGCCTCTAATAAATTGGAAGAGGATCTTGTCCCTTGACAAACACTCAAAAGAACTTGTCTTCATGATGTTGCCTTTGCCATCTAGCCATACCCTGAACCCTCACAGTATTCTCTTCCAGTCAGAAATCCCCGGGGTCCAAGATAGCAAGAAGAACAGATATTTTTGGCACTGTTCAGCATCAGCCAAGAAGTCTAGAGCTACTTACCTGATTTCTCCAAACTCCTCAACTAAACTTGAGTCTTCAGTATCTTCTTTCTTGTTTCTCTTGGCTCTGGTACCATGCTGTCAGTCTTTGAAAAATTGACACTTCCACTGCAGTGTTTATCATTGGTATGGTCAGTTTGGGGATCTTTGGTACCACCATTAAAAAAATAAATAAAACCAGCAACTTTAATATACATCTGCTTCATTGCTGACACGCTCAATAAAGAGTTCATTGCCAGCAGCTTTATTTATCTTGTCTGCTGACCTGGTGGTTACCCCACTTAAATTCTCCTAGACAGTTTATTTGTTATCATTTAATGTCTGGATTTTAAGCCTTCCCAGAGGTATGGGATCAGGAAGGAATTTTACCCCATGGTCAGATTGGTACAGACTGGGGGGTTTTGCCGCCTTCTGTAGCAGGGGGTGTGGCCCTCTACCAAGGATCTCTTGAGCATATATTGACAACATTTCACAGAAGCAGGATGTTGGCTGTTGTTTCTCTGCTTTCTGTGTGAGGTAAGTTTATTTGGTCTGTATTACGTCATGGGTGATGGTAGTCTCATGTAGAGTTTAGATTATGGTTGTATAGGATGTTTTGGATAGGGATGATCCTGCCTCAAACGGGAGGTTGGACTAGATGATCTCTGGAGGTACCTTCCAGCCCTACTTCTTTATGATGTGATTCTGTGATTTTTCTAACACTGGAATTCAGGATAATGATTATGAAACAAAATGAAGATGAATCCATGTTTGAGCTTAATCCTTTTGCAGAGGAAAGAGATGCAAAATCAGTTTAACAAGTAACCAGGCACTGTGACTGACATGCTTGCAGAAGTTCCTCTACTGTAGGGGTGGACAAAATATGGCCTGCAGGCCGGATCCGGCCTGTGAGGCCATTCTGCCCAGCCCACGGGGCCCCTGAAAAATTTAGAAAATTAAAATGTATCTGTCCTTGGTTCCTGTCAAAAATGGCAGGAGTCAGGGGCAGTAGGACCCAGGGGAAGCCCCAATGGATTCCTGCAACATCCCCCCCCCCCCCCCC